CCGGGAGGACAACGTGATCCGGAAATCGGGGGATCCCGGGAGCCTCTTCGGCTTCTCGCTTGCCATGCACTGGCAGCTGCAGCCGGAGGACAAGCGACTGTGAGTTTCCCGACTCTTCCCACCCCCACCGGGGCGCCGCGTTGCGCCGGGAGGAGCGAGGGCGCGCCCTGCTGCCTCCCGTCCCGCGTACCCAGAGCTCATCCGTGGGCCTGCCCTGCCCGGCCCTGCCCTGCGCGCTTGCACTTCTCCGGTCCAAGACTTGCGGGGCCGGGCCAGCCGCGCCCTTCGCGCCTGGTGCTCTGCGTGTCCCAGGAGCGAGGAGACCCGTGGGGAGACCCCAGACCCGACCCGGGAGGACATCACCCCCTCTGCCCCAAGTGCTTTCCGCGGTTCTCCTCTCCGGGCTTATTTTGCACAGACCCCGGCAGGTGGCACGCTTTGCTGAGCCTCACGTGTGAGCCAGGGACAGTGGTGGGACGTTGGGTTATGGAAAGTCTTTGAGGGAGATCCAGGCCTTTCTCAGAAACTCTCCAATCGTCCTGTCCTCTGCCTGGCTCGCGCGCCCCGCGGAAGTTGGGGAGCCACTTTTTCGCTGTCCCGTGTTAGTTGCCCTGCAGAGTGGACTCTCTTACTATCACAGGCTTTTTAAAAAGCACCTGTTCCGCAGGGCTAGATCAGCTGTGAAAATAAGCGTCTTCAGTGGTGTGCTAGCTCCCTCTCCCAGCTCCATGGTCGCGCCGCAACGCCCAAGAATCCTTGGGCCCCAGTGCTGGGTGGAACCCACCGAGGAATTAGACCACCGTGACCTATCTGACCTGGGACTTAGCAAAGAAGGGTCGGAAGTGACAGTCATCCCCCACAAGTTGTTCATCCAGGAGAAAGCGACTGGTTCTCCCTTTTAAACAGTGTTGGCTCCCACATGACCCAGTTCTTTTGACTGGAGTTTTTCTGGAGCGTAGTCGCCTCAGTCGCGGTGGGGCTGCTTTCTTGATCCAGGCTCCCGAAGGTCCGTTCTGACAACAAAAGGTCCTCCTCCCCTCCCGGGCCTTGAGTTGAACCCCGGTCCTTCCAGGACCAGCAGAGCGGAGAGAGCAGAGTGCAGTCAAGGGGGAAGGAGAGACCAATATGATTTTAAACTGGAGAAAACCCCGATGTCAGCTAGTTAACAACTTTGGATCTTGTGCATATTGTGGACTTCAGAATTTTAAAGTCAGAGTTTTCTGATAACACCTGCTCGGTGAAGCAGAGAAATCTGCTGTGGGTGGGATGGTCCCAGGCGGGGAGGGGGTTTGAGTCGGGAAACAGTTGTTGGTAAGCTGTAAATCTGAAGTGAAAGGTGTTTTGATTTTGTTTTGTTGTTGTTTTTTGTCAACCCTATGGATGACATACACAGCAGACACACATGACCTACATGGAGGATTTGAACTTGTTAGTATACACGTGATCGTTGGTCCAACAGAGGGAAAGCATCCCTTCCCTTTGACATTCTCTGTATCAGAGACCCCAGAGACTGGCTTCCCGGACAGCTGTGTCCTAACAGGGAATAAGTGGAGCAAGCAATGTCCTTGGGATAGAGACCGCACTTTGTGCCTGTAGCCAGGAATCTCTGTTGTCATTAAGGCGAGCAGCCTCGGGCTTGCTAAGACTTGTCACTGCCTCTGGGCTGCTCTGCTATTGCAGCTGCTCCAGGTCCTGCTGGGACTGAGTCCTGATGCCTGCTGAAAACTCCATAGAGGCTGGTGGAAGGGAGTAGCCAGCCAGACCCTCAGATGAGTAGAGACCCACTGTCAAGGATACTGTGGCGTAGCCTAGAACCCGGAGGCAGAAACGGCATCCGTCCCAGGGGGCTGTGAATTGTGTGTAGGCCCTCTCACTCTGTCATAAAGTGTTCTAAGGAGAGTCAGCGGACACAGCCCATGTCACCCCCATTGCTTCCTTTCACAGAAAAGGATGTGGGTGTAAACGACAGAGCCAGTGAGACTGATGGAACACTGGGCTCAGTTTCCAAACACAGAGGGGGCGCGCGAGTGTGTGTGTGTGTGTGTGTGTGTGTGTGTGTGTGTAGAAAGCTGAATTTAGGTTTCTTTTTGACCCTTTAAGCTGCTTATCATTTGCTTTAAACTGTGGTCTCTTCATCTGTAGAGTGGAGATGTTTCTGCTTCATCGTGTTGTTGTGAAGATTAAGAGCACATGCACACTGCTCAGTGTCCCACTGCTCAGTGTCCGTCCATCCCATCCCTACCCTCTTCCTCCCCCCACTCCGCCCCGCATGGACACCTGCTGGTTAAATGGGAAATATCGATGGTAATGCTATTTACAAGTCGAAACTGTGGGCCTACTACAGTAGGTGTGAGGTACTCGACAGCATTTGTGATTCCACGACTGTCTCACGTTAAAACCGAAGGCTCTTCCTCGGGTAATTAATATCCTAAACCCTGCGTCATATGTATGAACTCCAAAGTAACTTATCTCAGACTTAGAGTCATGGCAAAAGCAAACTTACTGAACAGGCGACTTTGAGACAAGGTATGTGGGACTATCAGATAAATGCACAGTTACAGAAAGCCTGAAAACCCGGCCCCCCCCCCCTGTAATTTAAACTTTCTCTAGTGGGCATTGCTGAGCTTTGGATGGTCAGGTTGGTTAGGCCCTCTAGACATCGTCCAGGTTCCCAGAAGATAAATTATGTTAGACTCCCAGAGGTTATTAAGCAGAGAACGGAGTGACTGAGGTTGGGTGTGAGCGCCGCCCGCCGCAATCTTCAATCAGTCCTGGGGTTGAGTCACCTCTAGAGGTAGAAGGTGCATGGTGGGGACTGTGGGTAAATCAGTCCTGTGACTCACTGAACTCTTCTGGGAAGGTAGGAATCCGTGTCTGAACCTGGGAGGAGGTGCACTCCGGGTGCGCTCCTCTGCCCTCCTAGTCTCCCCATTCTCTTCTTGCGGGTTGGTCTTTTGGCCAGCCACTCACCTCACTTTCCCAGGAGTTTCCCAGGCCGACTGTTACTTCCATCTGCTCAGGGCATTGTTGGTTTTACTCCATCATGTTTTCTGCACTAGAGATCATCTAGTCCGTTTGTCCCCTTTATAGATGGAGAGACGGAAGCTGAAGGCCACGAAATGAAGGCTCACCCAGAGTCTTATGTTTATGCGCGTGTTTATGCTATCCGTGAGAGGATAAATCAGAAACGTCCTTCAGATGCAGAGACTCTGGCAAGCTGCTCAGTTCTGGAAATGTATTATAGTGTGTTGATTCATTGAGCTGCTTCCCATATAGGTCAGGGCTATCTATTTAAGTATCAGTACATGGACTTTCTTCCTCTTTACCCTTAATTGCAACTGGCTATGGATCAAGCTTCTTCTACCAACCGAATGATGTGGCTGTCTCTACCCAGGGGTCAGAGGATGTACTCCCAAGTGCTGGCTTCCTTGCATTCAGTCCCTCGAACAGAGAGGTCCGTGTGGCTCAGGGCCATCTTCTGAGAACTGCTGTGTCACCTTGAGGCCGGGGAGAAGCAACCACAGCAGGCAAGGAGACTCAGAGGAACTATTAGGAACAATCCATTACTGTTGACGTTTTTGCAGTTGGGCAGTACTGGAATTCTGCGGTATGTGGATTTAAAGACCCGGAGTTAACATATTTCTGTGACCAATATGGTCAATGAATTCTGCACTTTAATTAGGGACAGTGAGGCGAAAACAAAAAATCCTGTTAATTGCTTACCAGGTGTGCACATCCCAGTCATTTGTGCTGAGTCAGCCCATCTTTGGAAAAAAAAAAAAAAGTCAGACCAAGAAATATCCTCCCCTCGAGCAGTTTCTTCATCCCTTGAGTGTGGGCAGCACATGTCTGGCAGCTCTGAGGTTTAAAGCTGTCTTCATCTTCAGGGGGTGACGCAATCCCTAACTGGGTTATAGGTTCTGTGAGGGCAGGGACCTTAGGCTCCTCTGAGCACCGAGCTATGCCTTCCAGATACAAAGAGGTCAAACCATGCGCTCAGTTTAACTTGTGAAATCAACTCTTCCTGCTCAAGGTAGAGAGGGGGAGCCATCGGCTTCGCTGTTCCTTGTTCAGGGCTCGGTTCTGCAGTCCCTAGGGAGAGGGAAGCTCTTGGCATGATATAAAGAGACAGGAAAGTTCTTATTATCCAGTTTAGTGACCGAGTCCCAGCTAAGGGATTTTCAGGAGTGATATATATATATATATATATATATATATATATATATATAAATTACCTTTGTCTTTTGCCCTAAAGGCAGACTCTAGAATTCAACCTCCAAAGTCAAACTGCTCTGAGCTGCCATGGGAGCTCAGGGTTTCTTAAGTTGCCTGGTTGTTTGAGTCTAGGCAGACATACAACTAGAATCAACCTCCTGAAAGCAGCCAGAGACCAAACGGGAATGCCCATGGGGACGCTTGGGAATTAATGATGAGGATAATAAAGTGATCTCGGGTATGTTTTATTAACTCCTTAGGTGCACTGTTGACTACCAGCTCAATCTTTTTAGGGGGCCCAAGAGTCACAGAATGGGAGTTTTGGGGTTGGTTGACACTGCCTTCAGGCTCTGGGGAGGACCGGTGCTGTGTGAATAGGATATGGGCCAGCCCCAGTCCCTTGGGTTTGGGTCTAGCCCTAGATTCAGATAACTTTTAAGTCTGGAAGGAACTCGGGGACTCTTACATGTCTGGTCACCAGGGTAATTCCTGGGGGCCCTTCGGTACAAAGTAGTCTTCTGGGATTGTCTCAGATCGATGGCATCAATTTCCATACTTGGGACCCTAGCTTCTGTTCCCACAGAGCCCTGTGTGTGCGCTAGAGATGCATCCCTTCTTTTTCTGAAGATGGTTTGTGAAGAAGGGAGAAGAACAGGGCTCAGGGTTAGCTGGGACCACATCCTGTTCTGTCCTTTGCTGTCCATGGCTGCTCAGAATTTTTGACCTCTGTTCCTTTTCTCTCCTGTAATAGTAGAATCTTGGCCACCTTAGACCAGCGCTGGCCGGAGGGAACACTTTGTGCTTGTTAAATCAAGAAACCCAGGTTGTGAGAGGTGTGCACGGTAGGTCAGGTAGAGCTGGTCTTAATTCCACGTCTGGGATGA